AAATAAAGAAGTACGGTGATATGGCCTCTGCAACTAGTATCCAAGCCAATGGTAGGACACTATCCATGCTTCAATGAGAGGTGAAGCGCACGAAATACAGGGCAAGCACATATGCCTTGTGTTGAGTTATTTGAACAATTATACATTATGCGATAAGAGCTGCCGTTTCGGTAAGCAGACCATGCAGCTGAAGGGCTTGAGAAAATAATGAACGTGAAATTTCTATAATGCTCCAATGTTCTGATTTGACAAGATATCTAGTACTCCTACCGAAATATATTGAACTATTGGGTTCACATGGCAAGATGTCTACAACTGTATCAGAAAACTTGTGCAAGGCAACCAAGCAGCCCGACTTCAGTAATCGCCATTTGTGGTTGATAGCACGTTGAAGTAACTGTATGAATCTATAAATCAGGAAAGATATCACTTTTCTTTAACAGACACCGCTTCAGTATACACAACCCGCAAAATATGAGAAGCTTCTGTAGATCACTAAAGAAAGTACTTCAATGCTTAGTATGCCTTGAGTACTTGAATATCTTTATAATGTAGTATTCGTCTTCAAAAATGAGACGAGATCTAACCAGTGATGCTGACAGTGTGACAGCATAGCTTGGCCCACAGCTTCAGAAAACAGCCCAATAGTTAACAGCGCAGATTGAACAAGCATGACCTGCGTAATAAAAGGCAATAATAACACAATAACAGTGCTTAGGAAGGCGAAACGAATGTCTCGCATAGTGTTGTGGTGAACGCATTAGCCCCGAAAGGGTAACAGCGTGTTCGGTCCCTACCGCAGACACCAACGGTCCGGAGTTTTGCGAATATGTTAGCATCGCTGTAGGAAAACAGTTCTATGGAATAAAACAAACCAGCACAAAAAAATAAAACTCATGCAGGACGTACCAGCTACTCCCGCAAAACCACTGGCACCTATAGGTGTCGCTCGTCGCGAGAGTGTTAGGTAAACATAACAACATTAACTTCACAGTACTCGCATAATGCAAGCCATAAACTCATATTGTTGAACAACTTTAGTTTGACTACGGCAAAATATCGTTGGTAAAGCAAAAAAAGAGTTATGGTTTCGTTCAGGTGACAATGAGAAACAGATTTGCGGTGAGGTAGACTGTCGTGTTGAAAGTGTGCAATGAAATCGAAGAGAGATCACCTTTCCAGAGTTGTAGTGGTTGCTGATGAAAAAGTGAGCGTCCCCACTTCAACTAGCTCTGTGTTGACTGATAAGCTTGCCAGCTCGTATCCTACATGACGTCGATGTGTCTTTCCGTGTGCGGAATCGCGCTCCCGCAACGGTGCGAAATGGTAGCCGGGGGAGGGTGTGGCTGCGATCAGGTCATCACAAATTATCGATTGCCGCACCATTTGTTGAGTAGAGCATGCTTGATCACCTTGATTGGGACAGAACTTTTGATTAGAGTATTATTATCTCTCTATCTCATTACTAGGCGAGATATGTTCGTTGAGGTTAGATTTGTTTACGGTAGTAAATTCGAGCTAAAAATGAAGTGCGTTCTCAGTAGTCTCGAGCACTTACCAATGCTGTCTACATTTCCATATGCTTTATCCTAAATCCTAAGGATTCTCCTGACCGAGGAGGTTATTGTGGAAGCGCGTTTGATGATATCGGAGTGCGACATCTGTGCGCAACGCCTTCTGTGTCGCCGTTATTTTTTGTCGATTTTCAGGATTCTCCAGTTGTAACGTAAGAGTCGGCTACAACTTCGTTAGATAACTACAGTCATTAAAGCATCGCCGGAGTTCGGAAAGAACTTGGTATTTTTTCAATGCCCGGAAATTGTTGACTGAAACAACGATCGATGAGCTGACTGATGACAGAGCCATATGAACACCCGTGCTTCATAGCATGTTCTTTGGTCTGCACTTCCAACATCATAATTGTCTCCTTGGACTTCGATTTCCATGCTGTCTTGGGTCATCTCATAGTGAATGAGAAGTTAGAATGGACAAAGAGAAGCCACTCTATGAAATTCTGTCTATCAAATTTAACATCGTATTAGAGAAAGAAAAAAAAGTAAGGGGAAGTATTGCGTGGAAGTGTGCCGAATAAGGTATAGGAATGATAGTGGAAACCGAGTTTCTATTCTCCTATTCACAGCATGCCTCGTGTTTGAAAACCCATTTTTCGGGAAGATTACAAGCTTTCGGCTCAAAAGGAGTGGTAGCAAATGAAATGGAGTTCTAAAAATTAATGAGAACATCTTCAGCGAAACAATTTCACTGCTTGGCAGGCACGTCTGTGGGTGAACCGTGTGAGCCGATGTCTGTCAAAGAAAGCCAGCACTCTGACTCCCGAACACGTTTCTGTTATTTTTAAGCGTTAAATGCTTCTGTGGACGAGTTTTAGATCTGTTGAATTAGACTTTCCGGAGCTATTTCGAAGTTTCAAGTACCAGCTTGCGATATTTTGTTGGGTTGTGAATTTTTCCCATACATCGCAGTTCGCCAACCAAAAACACTGTCTTGCTACTATGAGGGGCTAGACGGTCAGGGATCTCCGAATACTCCTCGTGTTACGTAAGGGAGAAAGCTTGAGCTTAGGTCTACAAAACCTTGCAACCTCCTTATTTTTGTATTTTTTAATAGATTGACGACAGTTCCTGCTTTACGTTGATGAAATTCAGAAGAAAACCTGTTAAGATCCATTATTCACCCGTACCACCTATAGTCCTATTGATCATCGAGTGACTCGAGCGAGCGCCAGTAAATCTTCCATCTTTCCCCGTCGCGTGCAAGAATAGCCCAGTGGATTCTACTCATTCTAGGGACTCATTGAGCATTATATCTTTCTTCTAGGCTCTTCGTGAAGAACTTTGACCATCGGGTCGGTGTTCTTCTTGCATGCGTTTGACATCGCGAGGAATCCGCTCACTAACGGCTCTTGACCATCGTTTGTCGTTCGTACGTATTACGTGTCCGGCGCACCTTATCTTCGACTGTTTGGCGTACAGAACCGCATCTTTGATTTTTGATCGTCGACGCGGATCGAAGCCTTCGGATCCCTTCTCTTACTTGTGCGACACGGAATACTCTTGGCATTGTCCTTCCGACTGCGCGTTCCACATCGCTGACTGATCCGTCATCCTTTTTATGCAGCGACCAGGTTTCTGACGCATTCGTTAGGGCATGAAGTACCGTTGAGTCGAAAAGGTGGGCACGGAGTCGGGTGTTCTTTCTTCTTTTCACTACATCCTCGATGCTCTTGAAAGCTCCACGAGCAGCTCGTTTCCTTCTGCTCAGCTCTGGAGCTAGGTCGTTCATCATGTTGATTTCCCGACCTAGATAGACGTAACTGAAGCATTCGCAGCTATTTGTTCTGTCGAATGTGAATGGAGCATATGAAACCAATCCGTTCCTCATGAATATCGTGTTTATAAGATTTAGACGAAGATCGAACTTTCCACAGGCTTTATCAAAGTCAAAGTCAAAGTTTTATCAATGATTCATTATTAGAGCATTTAATTTTGGATATCCTCAACAGATCTAAGCGGAACCTGCTATGATAATTTTTAAAAATTCGTTTGCAGCGATGCTGGCTTTTCGATAAGCGTCAACAATTCTTAGATCAGCAGAACACTTAAGAAGCTGAGGATTCAACGGAGTTATAAAGAAGACTTTGCCGTGGGGCGTATGCCACCTTAGTTAAGTGCCGTTACCAATCAACGTTTGCTTAACTTCTCAAAAAAAGCTGGAGATATAAAAATTCCTAGAGGAAGACGCAAACATTGGACAAAGGATTTGGATGCGTCTTCATGTCCTCCTGTACGAAATGCCGTTTGTTCAACTGCTTCGCCTAAAAAATACAAACTTCGATGAGGAAGTACTTAGCGGCCACATTTCCTAGGCGTTCACTAGAGTAGAGTCGAATATGAAGGCATAAAGCCTGTTGCTTTTTGTCCTTCGTGCTACTTTTCCATGTAGCCTGTTTGAGCTGCTTGTTTTCCTTCCAGTCAGCCCTAGGGCTAAATCATTCACCACATTGATTCTTCGTTCCAGATATACACAGCTGAAGTAGACTGTGACATTCATTCCGTTGAACGTCAGCCTACATTAGAAGGAAATTACTTCCTCATGAACATCTTTGTTTTTAAAGATTGAACCTAAGAATGTTGCCAGATTTTCTGTAAACCTGTCCAACATTCATTCCGCATGTCCAATCATGATTTTATGAGAGCCATAGCAGTAGATCCTTAACTACCAAAGAGCATAGTGGCTTTTTTCCCAAGCCAAAGTTACTAGCATGCCTGTCTCTTACGCAATGTTCCGTCAATCTCGTTAAGGGTGATCCGAGCAAGTCTGCAAATGGTAGAAAGTGGGAAAACTGCGTGATAATTACCAATGCTGTGCAAGCCTCCCTTCTTATCCAAAGACAAGGTCATGCTAGTCTTCCATTAACTAGGAATCTTGTATTTTAACACGTAGTGCGAGTGACCAGCTGAACAAGTGTGCTCGTGGCGACTGGCTGTTCAGATGACAAGGTCCTTCAGATGTGCTGACACAGAACGGTTCTTAACCGATGAAAGCTTGTGAAGCGTCAGAAGTGGAGGCTCTTGGAGCAACATATTCACCATAGTGACCTTATACGGTAACAGATGGACGTGGCTATAAAAAACACCGTGATACAAGTCGTGGGTGATCCTTCCTGTTTCCCTACCGGATGCAGTGACAACTCCGTGCTAATGTGTGGTGCGGTCATCTTAATCTCCTAGTTGGACAGCAGATGTCTGCAGCGGTAATTGAACCTCGTTATTACTCTTTCCTCACTCCACCAAATAATTTAGACTCCCATTCACATTTACTAAGCTTTATACTAATCATGGATCAAAGTGAAATTAAGAAAGAAAATGAAGTAGGTAAGTATAAGATAAAAACGAAGCAGTAAGGTTATAAAAAGATACAATGATATTCACCAAAAAGAGGCATAGGGCGAAAAACCTGTAAGGTATAACATGATGAATTTAAATTAAAGTAATCTTGTTATCGGCAATCATAATTGCGTTGTCGTTAGCCATTCTCTCATAACCGGCCTCCAGCTCACCATTAGAGAATGGATGAGTCCCAGCTTCTGATTGCACTCCTAAAGAGCTACTTGATTCAGCTGCTTTCGACAAATCTTATTCTTATGTTTAGTTTTATTCCACATCTCCTTTCATAGTTTTTTGATTCGGTCCACTCTTTTATACCCTTGTTATGCAATTTCATGATGACATTTCTCACCCACCTTCAGTAATCTTCCATACATCGACCATATCTTCGCTGGTTCCAAGACTATCGAACACTTTCCGAACACATGAGCGAAACTGTTTGTACCTAATTGAAACATTTTCAATACAGTGAGAGTAACACTTCTCCAGTCAAACAACGCATAAAATATACCGATCTACACTGATACTTGCCGGCTCCGCCCTAGCTCTCTTGGCCTGTTGTGAAGCAGTTGGGGACGACTCGCCACTGGGGACACCAGGTATACGTCTAAAAGTATTTCTAAATAGGCGATGACTAGACACTAGCAAACTATTTAGTCTCACCTACGAGTTCCTCGCACCGGAGTTGTAACACTGGCCTAAAGGCATGATTAAGATCAAACAAGATTTAATGGCTTACACTTGGTATTAGCGGCAGAAATCATGTTATTTGTAAACTTCAGCGTCATTTCCACCATGATAAGGAAGGACTATGGAAATCATCTTCGATGCAACACTCATTGGGTGATGTATGATACATGAATGAATGAATATGAAATATGGGTGACACGTTACTGCAAGTACTGTTGTAATTTGCTACCAACTGATTCCGTTACCGTCAGATCTTTTATCGCATCGTTGTCCCCACTATTATTCACAGCACACTTTCTGCGAAGAATTGTAAACATCTTATCATCCTCACACTTGGTAGTACTTATTGGGTACTTGGACGACCCATTCTTACTGGCTGTGCGAGCCCCAGCATATTCTTCATTTTTCGGAGTTTTGGTGGTTTAGCCATTGTTTCCTTGGAATTCTGAGGTCAGCCTGGCCAAAGTCTTCCTAATACTTCACCACCACAGGCAGTCGCCGCCCTTGTAGACCAGCGGGAGAACTGCCTCTATGCGACTAGTTTGATATCAAAACGGCGATGAATGCTGGTATTGGTTTACTCTTAGTTGGAATTCGGATGGGAACGTCAGACTCCTCCTCAGCTTGCAGCGCCTTGATGGGAGGGTGAACCCCCGCTGTACATCGGAGCCTTTCACCTAGGAACACCTCCCAGTCACGATGAGGCGGTAAACCGTCGAGAGGCTTGGTAGTAGTTATGTGACACATTTCAAGAACAGCGATCTCATACAGCTCCACTCAAAACCAGTACCACCAAAGAGGTAAAATCTCCGCATGGACTTACTTCCTCTTGATTCTCTTTCTCGTCATCGCTTTGTACTTCAGTAGTGAGACGTTTTTTCGAATTCTCATAATCTACACGAGCCTTGGGCTTTTCTTTGAAGCATGCAAAGTGTAGGAGATTGTATGCCTAAAACGCTAAACGACTAATAATTGTCGACGAAGCAAAATGACATCTAACCTTCTCAGCATCAACTCTGTCGACTGTCTTCGAGAACCGAGCCTTAGCAATTGATGTTGACAATCTTATCAATGTTTCCAATTGCCTTGCAGTGATAGGCATAGTCTAAGCCAATTTATTCATAAATTCCAAATCTTGTCTTCGATAGCACAACCTTTTCAATAGAACAAACTTTTTCTCTGTCCGTCTTCGAGATGTCAAATGATCGAATTTCAGCATACACTTCGGATATAAATTCAGTAGCTGCCTCAGTTAGTTTAGGCTTCATAGAACGGGCCAAATGAATATATTTCCTAACGAACTCAACTGATAGAACCTTCGCCCTAGAAGAATAAAACAATTGGCTTCCTAATCTCCAAACTTGGTAACAAAATACTCACGAATCATCAAACCAATCCGAGTTCTTCTCATACATCTCGCTGGTCCTTTCAGAACCATGTAGATCAAAGGTACTCATTGTTTCAACACCTGCACCCATAGGTAGCACAGTTCCATCCTCTTCTCCGGGATCCCGGTAACAATGAAGCTTCAGGACATGATTGGCCACAACCTTGTCACGATCAGGATCGTGCTAAAAAAATTCTCATAATAAGTTTTAAGCCGAGCCATCTCATATGTAAGAGCATTAACCTCATCTAGTAGAACGAAGATCAAGTCGAAACGTGAAAGGAGCGAATCTTGCATATTAATGTTGTCCATGGGTGTCTTGAAGGGATCATATCTGTAGAATAAAACCAGTATTTTAGAAATCAGCACAACAACAAGAGGTATAAAAAACCACGACCGATGACAATTAAGAAAAAACCTGTGATGAATGACGATGTAAAGCAACTACACTATCACTGATACGAGTGGAGACCTTCTGATCTAACCTTCTAACTTGCAACAAATAAGATAATGAAAATTATTGTGAGGAATTCACAATACCTAAAGAACTGGAGATTCTTTAAAGCGTGGTGTTTAAGTTCTATTTACTACCTACTCATTTCTCAAGGCAGGTTATTATGTGAGTTACCACGATAAGCATGCTGAAACATGGTATGAGAAGAACTTGGAACATCAAATGGGCTTCGTACCCCTTCCGAACGCTTATAGGCTAACCATCACACCCACTGAGGACCTTACTTTGTCTTTTTCTTGGCTGGTTTCCCACTGTAACGGTGCTACCAGCAATCACCCGTCGACGGGAATGGTCTTAAGAGCACAAACAGGTATCGAACTCAGTTATGTCGAAGTTGCGTTGGAAATCACAATGTTTAGCTTTCATTAACAATACAATAGGTAGTAAACGAAAGTTAAACAATGTGATGTCGACTGCAGTTTGAGCTTAACTGGGCTCTATACCGATTTGTGCTCTCAGATGACTCCTGTTGAGGGGTGATTGCTGATGGCTCCACTAGGGTAAAAATTGGCTAAGAGAAAGGCAAAGCAAGGGTCTCAGTGGGATAGTGAGTGACACATGAGCCCTGTAAAGGGTAGTCGCGGGTCCGAAGTGCATTCGATGTTCGGAGTTTTGCACATAACATATATGAGCAACTTTGTAGTTGCTTTTTCTTCTAGCGAGATGAATGAACCATTCCAAAAGCAAAGGTTTAAGATTGTGGCTTGAAAAACGAACCTTCCGTAAACTGGATTAGCTGCAGCTAAAACTGAACACCGTGCGTTCAACTTTGCATGAATTCCAGCTTTTGCTATAGTGACACGTCCTTGTTCCATGACTTCATGAATAGCAGTGCGATCTATGTCGGACATCTAAAGTTACATTGTTTTGAAGTCTATTTATTGTCTTATTGTAGTCTGAGTGTAGGCATGTTGTTGTCTTCAGTCATCAATAATAACGGCGAAGTTATCGACATGCACTTATTATGCTATATGAAGATCCCCGGATGGAATACTCAAGAACAAGTATCTCGTCTGGAAAATTCTCCATTGGGACCTTCGACTGTAGAAGTGTTTTCATGGACAAGAAGAAACAGACCTTATCGAACTCGTCTATACACACCACTCCTCGATCTGCTAACACCATTGCTCCTGCTTCAAGCTTCCTTTCGCCAGTGTCCGCATCAGTAGTGACTGCTGCGGTCAAACCCACTCCGGACGAACCACGTCCAGTTGTAGCAATAGCACGAGGAGCAGTTTGCAATACATATCTTTATATTTAACATTAGTAGAAGAAAAGTGACAAGAAGTGCTCTAACCTTAGAAGTTGAGATTTAGCAACAGATGGATCTCCAATGAGTAAAACGTTGATGTCTCCACGAAGTCGACTTCCATTATCAAGTATTTTTTCACATCCCCCAAGTAGGAGACACAAAATTGCTTTCTTCACCTCATCATGACCCCAAATCGATGGCGCCAGAGAGCGAGCAACAAGTTCAAAAACCTAAGTGTTCACAACGGTCCATGACTAACGAATCACAATAAACAAGAAAAGAACTCACGTCTTTCTTCCTACTGATTTTTCGAATGTTTCTCACATCCTCAGGATCAAAGTCCAGTGATATTTCCTTCGAGAGAAGCTGTATATTGTTGGCAATGACGACTGACCTAAAACTGTCTTCATACCATTGCATGTATATGCACTAGGTTTGACATCGAAACTGCAGTGGTACCTGAAGGATCCAGTCGAATATCCATTTTGCTTATTGGGCAGCACACGGTAAAGACCGATGATACGGACGCGGTCGCCTGGATTGACCAAGTCGGCCAAGTCGTTGTCCGCAATCACGTCGACAGAGCGCGGGAGCTGACCAGCTGGTGAGCACTCAGGCATCTCCTTAAAACATAGGAGGAGACTCACGGCATCACAATATTCTGTTTAAAAAACAATCTTTGTTATTTTCTCATAACGGTAATTTAATAGTTATAGCATTTTCTTGAAGGAACTGCAAGGAAAGCATTTAGTAACCAAGCAACTACTAGTTTCTCATTCCATCATTACTGCTGCAACCTTAGACCTAGTGGACGAGTAGGTCTTCATCGCTGCTTAGATCGAAAATCGAAATCACCAGTGTGATTTCATGTACTTTTCACTTTCAGTAACACATATAGTCAATCAGTAAAGGAGAAAAGTGTACCTGGACGGAGAACGTTTGGTGATCTTTGTATGTACTCAAGCCAAATTCGGTCTCCAAGGGATTTTTGTTCTCGTCCTGCAATGACATGTAATTTGAAACATTATGAAGTCCATGGAATAGCTGAAAAACTGAAGACGTGCTTCTTTAGGGTAAACATTACTGCTGGGAAAAGAGTCGTAAGAGGTAATGTCTCTGTATCTCTTCTCCAGCGTTTTCTTCGTTGCAGGGCAGTAGTGTACACTCTTAACCACTTTTGGACGAACAGTAGAGCCTTCAAAAGAGCGAAAGTCAATTAAATGCAATAAAGGGAGAAATATAGGAAAGTGGAAGCTAACATTTTGTTACGATTCCTTCACAACAGACAAGGTTTCCAAGGAATACGGATTTTAAAGACCTTGGGTTCACATGGCGATCTCCGAAGGCGCCTTCAAAGCCAACTTGAATTTCGCTGAAAAAGGGAAGGTATTGCCTCAAAACAACCGTTCGTTAGTAATAACATATACTCACTGTTTTTTGACGAAATCCGGACTGGCTCGACCAACAATTTCTTTCGTGGCTTGCTCCAAACAAATAACCTCCTCGACGAAATTGTGAATAAGCCTGAAAACTTCGACTGCCTACGACCTGATTATTTCAAGCTTGAATTTGACAAAAATGTATCACCCTGAGGCCCTTTCAGCTGATTTCCTACGGACATCGTTCAAATTGACAATCAATCGCGGACACTCGCTGTTTATCATGTCCTCGACTTTCTGCACGTAGATCTTCCCCTCAGCCTTCAAAGATCACCAATTGGACTCTTAGACCTCTGTGGTTCACCACGTCTTAGTTCCGCTTTGCTATTTAGTCTGTCGAATGTCTCTATTCGTACAGGTGAAATAAAATAGCCAAGGAGGCTACATTAAACCCACAAAAATATAGAAACAATACCGAGTCGTCCAAAATATTCAGGTACTGCTGAATAAGCTCACGATTCCTCGCCTCGTTGTTTCTATCCACCGCGGCGTTCCCTTCCATGTTCTCGAAAGCTCAAGATTTACACAAAAATACTCCCGATACTACTAAAAAATCACGATTTGAATGAAAAAAGGAGCACAGACAGACACGATGATGAAAAGACACGACGACACTGATTCCCCGTACGTATTCAAATTTGTTCCCGTTCCCGCCAAGAAGCCCAGCATTGGAGCGCATATTGTGCAGGTATGAAGGCTACAGTTTTATATCATTATTGAATCTTCGGAAGATTTAGTATAGTGGGAAGTAAACATGCTGGTGGAATCGCCAGCTGAAATTAAATTTCGTTCAGGGAAAACTGCTGTATGTAGCATCTATGCACTCAGCTCTATTTTATAATTATAGGGAAGCACATTGGGTACCTCCATTGTTTTCCCTCTTTCTTTGAACTAATGCGCATGCATCATTGGTTATAGGTGGCCTGGAATACACACGTGGTCATTGGTTCGATCCTGCGCCCAGTAGCAGCACGCCTTCTATCCCTCCAATGTCAGTAAACTCGTACTGGACTTATCTGGGAGGATAAAAACAATGATTTGATGCATCGGTAGGCACCCGAAAGTCATTGTACAGGCAACATATGCAATAAAACATTTCTAACACTGTTGGTCGAATACATGACGCCTACCTCAGGAATTCATCAATTCCGAGCGCCTTATTTTTTACCTCTTACTTGCCTAACGTGTTTGCGAATTGTTTCCTGCATGTCAATTCGGCCGAAGTTTACAAACAGGTTTCTAAAAAAAAACAATATATGGTGGAATCCACGGATCTCCCTCATAGCGGAATTTCATGATGGTTAGTCGCGAGGCAACGTGGCGCATCCGCAGGTAGCGGATAGGTGGTTCGTACCAACAGCGACCATTGCTTCACGAAGACGCGTGTGGATCCATGAGATGGATTCCATGTCTCTGCTGCGTCGACCTGACACATATTTTCCGTGTACACGAGAACGTATCCCCCAACGCATGCGTGAGTTTGTCCTCGTTTATGCTGATTATATCCCACGACCGACCTTCTATTAACCTCGACGATGATCAAGTAATTCTTCGTATTCTTGTTCAGCAAACGTGAGGTGTTACTTTTATTCTTTATACACGAAAAAGCTGACGTTTCGGCGGATTTCGTCTTCCTCAGAGCCTCGAAGAGTCAAGTTAGCAGCAATCTATTCGGCCAAACACCTCCATAACCAAACAGAGAAAACGCTAAACCAAAATTTCAATCACATTGAACACAACTTTGCACACTCACCGCTTTCTATGAGTCTTCCACTGAGTATGTCGGGTGGATACCAACCACACAGAATTCACCTCGAAGCGTAATGTGCCACTCCCATCAGAATAACAGGCTTATATACTGCCGCATATCACGCGTGATAATAAGGCATTCTTCTCTGCGGTTCATCTTCGGATTTCTGGAATTCTTCCAGAACGCCTCGAGAGTTCTACGCGCTTGTGCTCTCGGTTCATGTGCGAGGATCGTGACACGTACTTCAAAGTTCTCCACGTTATGTCTCTGGGTCCTATGCGTGCCTAGTAAGGTATTTGGTTTACGTTTGCCGACTAGCTGTTCTTTTATGCCGACACAGAGTGGTCTACCCGTTTCGCCAATGTATTCGTCTCCACACGCCTTACAGGAGATCAGATAAACTATACCCGAGCTCATGCAATCACCGTCTCCAGCATTAGGGCAAATTATTCAATTTTGCGTTGCACAGAGGCGGTCATATAGGCGGTTACGAATTAGCTGACGCCTAAGAGTACTCGGTGGTATTTCAACTACGTTTACCGAATTCTCTAGACCAGTCCTTCTTAAGCAGCGTTTTATAGCTGCACTTACATCAATTGAGATGAAGGGTAGGATGAACGGGACCTTTTATTGCTAGAGTTGTCGTTTGGCGGCTTGGGATTTCCCTACGCCTACCCCGACCTACAGCTTCGTAGCCATTAGAAAGCGCTGCAAAAGATCGTCTTAGCTCGACATTCAATACACTTTCTCCACTGCTGTCTAAAAAACATCGAGTCGTCTCGAACTTCATCAAACGAAGACGTCTGCACGATGTTTGCGGACTACAATAGGACAGTCACCAAGTACTGGATATCGAATTGCGAATACTACGCACCAGCATACGAAGCCGACAAAACCAAATGTTCGCCAAGTGGAAGAAGTGCGAGACGAAGGAAAACTTTTGTGCTCAGTATTTGGAGGACCGCCTCCGGAGCCATGACTCTCACTGACGGCGCGCGCTCGTTATTAGAATTGGGACCGAGTTTCTCAGCATCTGAATCCATTTCTAAGGTAACCTTGCGTAGGATCGCATGTAGTTTACATGAACTTCAAGATAGACTCCGCAAAAAAGCTATAGATGAAACGCACAGTAGATGCGAACAACACCAAGTGGGCACACTACAAAGAGCACCATTTCCTCAGCCGTTCTTTAGACAACAAGAGCCCAATAATGAAGTTGATGTTAAATTTCTGATGTTCACGAATGAAATTTTCAAAGTCCTTAATCACGATCTCGCTAAAAGATGCAGCTCCAGCCTCACTGAAGTGCAAAAACGTGGTATGCGAGTGCTACGAGAGCTGATAAGGTTGAAAAACATAAGACTATTCGTTAGTGATAAGGGTGGAGAGCTTGTCGTAATTCCCCATCAGTTAGATGTAGAGATAATGAAAAAGCATCTTGAAGATGCTTCACTTTATCGTCCATCATCTGAGATGGAGTTCAAAAATAGATGCGGGAAATTGAACTCAAAAAATCAAAAATAGATGGGCTGCTAGCTTAAAACCATCTGTTATCTCTCAACTAAAAGCTCACTTACCAATATGTCCCGTCTTGTACTTGCTTATAAAAACTCATAAGTTAGCATCTAGCGATAATTTTGCGTCTACTGATCCATCTTTGTTTAAGGGTAGACCTATCATTAGCTGTGTAGACGGGCCAACGGAAAGGATAACGTGGTTTTTAACCCTAATATTTGCCCACTTGTTGCAATACATTTCAGCCCGTCTTACGAACATCCAGATGTTTCTGGATCGTCTACGTACTGGGCAGCCCAGTAGCGGGTACGTGATGGAGTCCTTCGACGTTACTGCCCTTTATACAAACGTGTCGAATGACTCCGCAATGCAAGCCATATTCGAGCTCCTTATGCAACACGAAGGAAAAATAAACATGTATGGCTTCAAGATAGAGCACTTGATGGCACTCTTAAAAGAATGCTTGAGCAGGTCAATCTTCAGATGGTCCGGAAAGTACTACGCTCAAATAAGAGGGTTGACAATGGGACAACGACTGGCACCAAGTTTTGCCATTGCGTTTATGTCTAAGGTCGAAGCACCAGTGACTGATTTCGGGCCGTTACTCTTCTGCAGATATATAGATGACTACTTTGTTCTTTGCTCAACACAACGGGGAATGGACAAATATTTCGAGCTATTGAATGAACAGTCAGAGTATATCAAGTTCACCAGAGAGAAACCGAAAGAAAACTGGCTTCTACTCCTGAACGTCTAAATTAATCTGTCAGAAAATGGCTACATTACGAAGTGATACCGAAAGCCAAGTAGTAAAAACATCTTGGTTCATTATCTCTTCTCTCACCCCTCTCACACGAAAAGGGCTCTTGTAAGAAAAATGTTTCGAACAGCAGTCAACGTGTGCACGGGAAGAGAGCAGAGAGAGTAGTCCCGGAACTTGACACGGCAAATAGCAACTTCTAATGGATACGAAACTGTAGCTCGGGAGTGGTGTAGGGAAATCCCAAGCCCCCAAACGACAACTCTAGCAATAAAAAGGTCCCGTTTATCCTACCCTTCATCTCAAATGATGTAAAAATGATGTAAGTGCAGCTACACAACGCTGCTTAAGAGGGGAGGGTCTAGAGAATTCAGTGAACGTAGTTAAAATGCCACCGAGCACTCTTAGGCGCCAGCTAGTTCGTAACCGCCTATATGACCGTCTATGTGCAACGCAAAATCGCATAATTTGCCCCAATGGTAGAGACGGTGAATGCATGAGCTCGGGTACAGTTTATCTGATCTCCTGTAAGGCGTGTGGAACGAATACATTGGCGAAACGGGTAGACCACTCTGCGTGTCGATAAAAGAACACCTAGTCGGCAAACGTAAACCATATACTCCACTAGGCACGCACAGGACCCAGAGACATAACGGGGAGAACTTTGAAGTACGTGTCACGATCCTCGTACAAGAATCGAGAACACAAGCGCGTAGAACTCTCGAGGCGTTCTGGATTAATTCCATAAATCGGAAAATGAACCGCAGAGAAGAATGCCTTATTATCACGAGTGATATGCGGCAGTATATAAGCCTGTTATTCTGATGGGAGTGGCACATTACGCTTCGAGGTGAATTCTGTNTTCATCTCAAATGATGTAAAAATGATGTAAGTGCAGCTACACAACGCTGCTTAAGAGGGGAGGGTCTAGAGAATTCAGTGAACGTAGTTAAAATGCCACCGAGCACTCTTAGGCGCCAGCTAGTTCGTAACCGCCTATATGACCGTCTATGTGCAACGCAAAATCGCATAATTTGCCCCAATGGTAGAGACGGTGAATGCATGAGCTCGGGTACAGTTTATCTGATCTCCTGTAAGGCGTGTGGAACGAATACATTGGCGAAACGGGTAGACCACTCTGCGTGTCGATAAAAGAACACCTAGTCGGCAAACGTAAACCATATACTCCACTAGGCACGCACAGGACCCAGAGACATAACGGGGAGAACTTTGAAGTACGTGTCACGATCCTCGTACAAGAATCGAGAACACAAGCGCGTAGAACTCTCGAGGCGTTCTGGATTAATTCCATAAATCGGAAAATGAACCGCAGAGAAGAATGCCTTATTATCACGAGTGATATGCGGCAGTATATAAGCCTGTTATTCTGATGGGAGTGGCACATTACGCTTCGAGGTGAATTCTGTGTGGTTGGTATCCAGCCGACATACTCAGTGGAAGACTCATAGAAAGCGGT